CCCACCATGACAAGAAGGGGTCATCCAATGACCGTAAGGGACACCATGGCAATGATGTGCATTTAGCCATGGTGTGCACAAGAGCCACTAACGAATCATCATGGGCCAAGTGCTTATGGCCCATGGTTGCAGCACATCAAACATCTACACATCGCATGATATGGAAGAATTGATCCAATCAATCACATACTGTAAAGCCCTTTAAACAGCCCATTTAAAGACCACAACATTAACAATTAATATCATCTAGGTATATGGGCTGAATCGCAGTTAGCAGTTCGGCCTATATAGCTTTTATGTAAAACTGGGCTTTTGCAGTTTTAACCCCTTAAAACTGGGCTTTACAAGTTGGGCCGAATTGGTTCTTCCAATTAAAAATTGATTTCAAACTTGAAAGTGGGAAATAATAGGACTGAATACAGCCCTTTTCGAACCCTAAATTTGGTCCAAACAATTTTGGTTCAATCTGGTCCGAAATGGTCCAAAAACAATTTTTAATTCAAGAAACAACTCAATGAAAGATTTAAAATTAAAATTCCGAAAATTTGACAATCAAAACAGATCTGCACTGTTTGTACGACCTACAAAACAGAGGTTAGTAACTAGGGTTGCAGTTTCCCAAACTGCAAAAACGCAGATAGCGAACTCTTCATCTGCGAATCTCCAGCGCCACCGCCTTCTCAATCAAGAAAATAAAAAACAGAAATCCTATTTCTATTAAAAATTACATTCTTGATTGAATCCTTTACATTCRGTCTAGAAAAATAAAAAAAAAATTATTTTACAGACCAGAATGAATAGAAACTGCAAATAACAGGTGCGCAGACATTCTGCGCCAAAATTGATCTTCGAACTCCATGTACGAACAGTCCATTAAATCAGAAATAAAATAAGAACAGTTCTAAAATAAATTTCAGATTCAACAAAAATTAATTTCAGATCAATCGCCCATACAAGAAACAATTTCTTGAAATAAAACTACAATCTGCGCAATACCCGGATAGAACAGCTTCTACCAAATTGTGCAGGTTTAGATCTGATCTCTTGGTTCAAGATTCGAACCTGTGGCTCTGACACAACTGAAAGTATGGTAGGATCCATCATATGGACGCCAAAAAGGTTGCGGAATGGGTGGGTGAATTTCAAAAATTTCCTACCTTTCTTCCAACTAGGAATCGTATTCCCAGATTTTATAATCAAGATTCAAGGATCCTACTTGAACCAAACCAGACCCGATCTTAACCAAGAACAAAGGGAAGGGTTATACCTAATACAGAGAATCATGATCTCCCAACGTCGGTGTTCACGCCCAAAGAAAGATCCAAGATCTGCTCCTGCTGAAGATGACACAACGATGGTGGGGCAGAACCAACAGTGTACATCCCACGTATCAAACTCTTCACAAGAATCCATCGGAGGCTTAGAGCACCGAACCTAACCAGTCTTTCAGCAAAGACTGATATCAAGAACAAGCTTCTTGATCCTACCTTCAAAGGAATTCGAACCAAGCAGTAAGGCGGCGGCGTCTGGGGGAGTTCCTAAGGCTRAA